TCCTGGTTTCTGTCCAGTAGAGTAGCTCCGTCCCCGCTCTGTTCTGGAGAGTTGTCACCCTTCATTCTATTTCCTGTTCTGCTTTTTCCCCCAACAGACCGGTTTTAGCCTATATCCTCACTGTCACCAAAGATAAGCCCATCACCTCCAACCCTACCTGCTTGCATTTTTGTTTTATTAAATGTGGGAGAAGTTATACAGATTGTAGAACTTTACAAAAGTCCTATAAGCAGTACCTGAATATTAACTTTCCTGTTGCGATAATAGCTAGAAGCTCTGTTGGGTGTTTGCCCCCTGCCTGGAGTCTTATTTATTTATTTATTTATTTATTTATTTATTTGCAAAAACAAGTTTATTTACTAACCAAAGGGTTGATCCTAATTAAACCAACACTTTGAAATACTTCCATGTAAAATGTTTGTGATAAAGATAACTGAGCACAATAATGAAAAAGAAAGCAGTGTGGAGGCTTGAACTAAGCTTGTTTATTATCACAGCTAATTGTCATCAGAAGTGAGGATGGAAGTTTTATTCTGCTTTTTCAAAGGTCTGAGTGCAGGTTCATTATGCATCTCACCACTCACTTCCCACCTCTTACTGTGTCGTTATTGTATTTTCCTGTCCCATCCCATTCCTGAAGTTGAACCAATGCGTTGTTTGTAGAGTTGCAGATCTGAGTGTTTCTGCCATCATCAGCAGTTTCTTCAAACTTTTGACCGTTGCACCCATTCCTCACACAGCCATCCCCCCTGCTACTGCCTTCACTAATCCATCCAAGCCCATGCTCTGCACAAGGGGCCATCGTTCTCCCAGCTGCCGAATGGTGACCATGGTGGGTACCTGGGCTTTCAGGGTGGGCAGACCAGGGTCTGGCTCGGGGAGTGGACACCAGGTGGCCAATGGGAGGTGTACCTTCCTGCTTGAATTCCTAATAGTGGAGTTCACAAATGCCAGCTCCCCTGCTTTTGACAACTTCTGCTTCCTGGATGGCTCTCTTTTCATCAAAAGGCGCAATCAAGGACAAACTTGGAGATCCACCAACCCACTACGAACTTTGACCTTCGGGAGTGAGGATGGGGAACTGAAAAGAAATTTCTTTAGCAATGGTTCTCAGATTTTAGTGTGCAGAAAATCAGTGGAGCACTTGCTTTCTAGAACATGCCAGCTTGCATCCCCTCATTAACTATGATTGAGTAGGTCTTGGGAGGGACTCAGGAATTTACTCTTTAACAAGCTCCACTCCCTGAGTGATCTGAGGTAGATGGTCTAGAACCCCACCCACAATTGTGAACACCTGAAGATATATTTTGCTCACCCTATGTTAACTGTGTCGCTCCCAGGTTGTCCTCCCCATCACAGCTAACCTGAGTTCATCTGTTCAAGCACAACCCTTAGGCTCTTTTTGGTGGTTAATGGTAGAGCCAAGGAAGATTGAGTTGGGAGAGGTTAACTGTTCTTTCTCATTCTGGCTACCACATTCTAATGAAAGCAAGTCTCAGACCAGATTTGTACTCACAGTTCTCCAATGAGCATTCATGGTTCAACAGGCATGATAGCACATATGCTCTGTTAGCTTACGGGACTTGTTATAGATGCTCTGATCTCCCGCAGAAAGTTTATTCGAGGTAGAAACCACATGGTTCCAAATGCAGTCTCCTGTTATGCTGATGATCAACATCAGGCCATAAGAAATCCTTTTGACCAATGGCTGGACAAAGGATCGCTTAGGGGCCAAATCCCAGAAGCCATCCTAACACAGGCCTAGGTCTCTTTGGGTTTTCACACCTCCTCATGCAAGGCAGGGAGTGTTTCTAAATTAGCCAATTTATATACTTGTGAATATATATTTCACAAAAGAACCCATTTCCATTATTCTCCATGCTAATAAGCAAGTCACTCATTTCACCAGTAAAAACCCAGTTTTGACCAGCACATTAACAAAGTCTTAGAGGTATTGAAGGTATTGATATTAGAAGGACTTGAGTGACTAACCCTGGAATCATGACTCTGGGGGACCAGGCAGGAGCTTCCTTTTACAGGACTTTCTCTGAGCCTACCCTCTGCTCCATTCCTCTCTTCCTGTCTTGCTCTCCCATTTCCTCATTGGCTCTTCTGGGGGTCACTTCCATAATAAATCTTTGTGTAAGAATCCTTTTCTTAGGGTCTGCTTCTGGGGCACCTGATCTAAGACAGCCCGCTATGCATTTCTAAAGGCAGGTGAGTCTCAGATTTGAGTGCAGTGCGAATCACCAGAGGAGCCTGTGAAAAAGGCAGCTCTCAAGGTCATGTCCCAGAGACCATGGCTCTGTAGGGTGGGGCCCAGAAATCTGCAATTTAGTGAACTCTCTGGCTCATCCTGCTGACTGTGGCCCTTGGGCCTCATTTTGAGAAGCAGAGCTACTGCGCTCCTTCCGCCAGAAATGGGTCGATTGCCAGCTCAAGCCTCGGAAGCCCCACCCTGCTCAGACATCTGTTGACCCCACAACTCCAAGCAGTTTGGCTTCAACCATGAATAACTGTTGCTGCTTATAGTCCATCTGGCACTTCCTTGGTGTCAGGCTGATCCTCTAGGCCCAGGTCACTGGCGCTCAGCTCCCATCCAGCCAGGGTGCTTTTCGGAGACCTGTGTGGCTGAACATTTGCGAACCATGAGACTTCTCCTTGGCTCCCATTCTCCCGTTCTTCTGGTCTTCTCTCCGGCACCTGCCCAAGTTGCCTAGTTTTTCTTTCCTGGTTCCTGAATCTTGTGCGCGTGCGCACACACACACATTTTTTATCTCAGATCTCAGTGCGTGGGCAGGACAGAGCTCTGAAACAGCCATTTCTGGTAGTGAATTTAGTAGCAACACACACACGTGCTACAGTCACTCTTTCTGGATTGAATTTGAGATCCATTGCTTAGTAGCGGTGTGACTTTGGGCAAGTTATTTAACTACTCTGTACCTTAGTTTTTTGTTTTTGTTTTTAATTTGAAAAATGGAAATAATATGGGTAACTACACCTGAGAGTTTATTTGTTGCTGATAAGTCAACTGCCTGGCACATAGCAAGTGCTCATTAAACATTAATTTATTGTGTGAGAAGAACACACTCCCCAAATTCCCAGCCATATGAGTCACCTGGAGATGGCTGAGTGTTCTTTGTACCCCCAAGACCACAGGGTGTATCACTCATGGACCCTCGTCATGCCCTCTTACTTCTCCTTGGCCCTGTGTACTCTCTGGAAGGTGGAAACAAATGAAACAAAAGATGTGTAGCTTTGCATGATTTTGTTCTGACTGTTGACAGACACATAGACATTCTGACTGTAGGAATAACCAAGGGTTATTTATGACACCCACTGTGAACCAGGAACTAAGAAAACAATTTTCCAAGGCTCTTTTCTTCCAGTATCTCCTATAAGCCTGACATCTATCCCAATAAGTGTGAAGCACATCACCATTCCCATTTTAAATGACTAGGAAACTGTTAAGGTCCCGCAACTGGTCATTGGCCATGTGCGGGGTTTGAACTCAGATCTCCCTAAGACTAATTGCCTTGTTTTCTTGTTGTTTTTCCCATACCCTAGAGTCTCACCCTCACTTTTTCTTTTCTGAGGCAGCTATTCAACAAACCCAGCCAACACCATGAGCTCCATCCCCACCCCTGCCAAGGCTGCCATCAGAGGAGGGGACAGGCCAAGACAGTCAAGAGCTCTTTTTTGGCAGGCAGCTCTGAATGTCCCAAGTCTTGGGTCATGCCAGTGCTGGGTTCCAGGATGAGCTCAATCTGTGCTCCCCATCTCCCGCCCAAGGGACAAGGAAGCAGGAGACCAAAGGAAAGAATGTGGTAACCACCTGCAAATCTCCAGCTTGGGAGGTGTGAACACAAAGAACCAGGACACGGTGTGCACTCACCAGATGGGAGCTGCTCACTGTCCGAGGAAGCTGCAGGAGAGGCAGCTAACAGGAAAGGAGGAAAGGCAACTGGAGAGTGGAAGGGTGATGTGGACTTGAAGATGGGGGCCAGGACACAGTTCCCTAGAAAACCAGGGGTGAGCTTGGTTTGAAGAATTTTCAGCATCACCAGGCATGGGACGGGAGGGCTCACTACTCCTGCCTTCTTGCAGGGAGTACAGGCTGGGCTGGGAGGTGGGAGTTCCCTGCCACTGCCTTGGAGAGCTGAGGGGGAGAAAGACAAGGCTGACTCCGCAGGGAGGTTCAGATGGGGCAGAGGAGAGAAGTGTTTGGCCTGAAAAATGAGTTTGGCAGCAAAATCTAGAATTCAGCCTGACCCAGAGCTTCACCACGTGTTCTTTTCTGTTTCTGTGATGACAGAGATAAAGAGGGAGGAAAACAAACTAATGAAACATGCAGAACTCCTCTCTTACCTCCCTTGACCCTGTAGAAAGCAACCCCACTGGGAGGGGGGGGTGGCTGGTGTTGGAGAAGCCACATGAGCAAGTTCAGTACAGGGCCCTAAGCTTCACCGTGGATTCAGGAAGATGGTCCCTGAAACCTGCACAGTAGCTGGTTGCCAGCCCTACCTCTTCCCAATCCCACCCCTGGGCTTGTGCAATGATCAGGATAACCTGCCCCCGAGACAGACGTCCGCACAGGTCATCCAATCTCTGGAAGCGAAGGCCCATCCCCTTATCTCCGCAGCTGTTAGGCAGCCTCAGCAAGAACAGGCTCTGGTTACAGTGTATAAACAGGCCACAGAAGCAGCTGGCTCTGGTCTGGCACATGCCCTTGGCTATTCTGCCTTGGGGAGGGGAGCGGGGAGGTAGGAAGGAGGGTAGAGGTTGGATGTGAAATGTGGGCAGCTCCTGCTCTACTCTCTCCCTCATTCTCTCCCTCAGCACTCATCTGGATTTTCTCCAGAGTCTACAGATCTTTCTTTCACAAGGTAGTCATGTGTCTGGGACCCTGGGACTTCGGCATGGGTTGTGACACACATGATCACACCATCTTACAAGTCCGTCAGATCAGAACTATGTTGCTCTCAGCCAAAGGCCACCCCATCATGTGTGCATACACAGTCTGAGCAAGAGACACTCATGTGTATTTGCCTTCCTTCCAGCCCTAACCCAAGAAACAGAAGGTCTGTATATTTGTGGCTCCATGAGTCCCCTGCTGCACCCACAATAATGGCTTATGTCTTTAAATAGTTTAACCCAAAAAATCAGGTAATGGATGTGCATGTGAGTAGCAGGGGCTTCCAGGTTTGACTTTGCACTTTCTCTCTCTCTCTCTCTGTCTCTGTCTCCCTCTCTCTTTCTGGAAGAAAAACCAGAAATCCAGAAGCCTGGTCTTCTTACCGACGAGCCCCCATATCCATCAGAGTCAGGACTGACGGGCTGAGGCTCTTTGTCTGGTTGCTGAGAACTTCAGAGAACAGATGACGTCAGGGGGGCCCAGCTAGGTCTATGAATTCTGAGTACAGTGTGTGTATCTCAAATAATGTGGAAGAAACCACTGGAAGCAGAACCAAATAGCATTGATCCAAGCAGACTGATCAGCTATCAAAAGGACAGAAAGATTGACTTGACTCAACCTCTGTGCAACCTCAAGTTCCTCACTGGCAGGTTTGTGGAATTTTCCCTATGGCTCTTATTTAACAATAATTATAGATCAATTCTCAGTCAGTTTAAGGGATTAGGTTACTGCTCTTCAATAACTGTGTGCTTTTGAGAGTCTCTTCTTCACTAGGTGTTTCCTGTCCATAAAACTCAGGGGTCTAATCAATCTGCATGTGTCTAATCTATATGTGCTGATCAGTCCATTTGTGCTGATCAAACCATGCAAATGAATGAGTGGCAGCAATCTTTCTTATTTTGATAATATGAAGTGACAGGTGACTAAGAGAAGGGGGCTCTAGAAACAGATGTAAAGTGGGAAACAACTCCCAGAGGGAAAGACGAGAAAGAAGAGGAGGCAGGGGCAGAAGGCAGACTTCAAAAGACTGAGCTCTGGAGTCTGAAGGAGGCCGTCTGTTTCCAACAAGGCCAGGCCAGGCCGGAATTCTGTGGTTTCACTTATACGGCTACCAAGGTCCTCTGCTTTCCATCATTTACAAAGTCAGTTTGTGCAGCTATGGGGCGGGCGGGGGGACGGGGGGGCGGGGGGACGGGGGGGGGCGGGCAGAATGCATGCATGTGTGTGTGTGTGCGTGTGTGCTTGCGTGTGTGTGTTTTCAGTTGGCTGACTTGAGGCCACTGACTTTTTTTCTCTTTAAAAGGTGTTTCTTTATCACAAACAAAATAAAGAAAATCTTATGTATCACAAACATATTCTATATACAATAGGTGCCTGCAAGCCCAACGCAGTGCCTCCCCTGCTGGACAATGTATTTGAGCAATAATTTCTGCACCAAGCGGCAGTGGACACCAAGGCCACTGCCCTGCCCAGAGGTCGAGCCTCTTGACTGCCCTACTTTGACATGTGGAGTGGCCTGGGCCTCACTTGGCATCCAAACCCCAGTGCCTACTCACTTAAACCTTCAACAACTCCCTTTGTCGACACACACTAGTAGAAGCAGACACACACACACACACACAGAGGCTCTGCATATGCATGTTGAATGAAGGCAGTTACAGATTTAAGAAATTGTTCATCTATTCAATTATTGAGTACCGATAATGTGCAAGGAAGTGTTTTAAAATTAGGCCAATTGCACAAATTCACCAGCTAGAGCAGAGGAAACTTGACTCAGGGCTGTTTAGCAATTTAATCAAAGAGCTAAACTATTTTTAACATAGCCCTGAATAATGTTTGTGCTTTTTTTCCCCCTACACTTGGACAGTCTGGCACATGGGCCTTGGCATAAAAACGTTCTTGAGATCCAAGCTGGGGTGAGGCATGAGGTTGAAAGACCTTCAAGCACTTCCAGTCCTTTCCACACTCCTGGAAGGTTTTTAGAAGAAAAAGAAACATCCTTTGGTGTTGATAAGCACTCTCTGTACTTGTATTTGTCTCTTTAGGCGTGGTTGGCCAGAGAGGCTGCTAAAAATATAATGAAAGAAGTGAGGGAGGAGGTAAGGAGGAGAGAGAGGATGAAAAAACTAACTGTGTTCATTTCGGACTGCCTCCCACTGCAAATTCACCACAACGTTCAAGCATATCACCATCGGCCCCCCTTCTCAGCCATTTTTTGACACTTGACTTGTGTATATTATTTTTTAAGTAAAAGAGAAAAGTGCTCTCATCCCTATTCTTTCTATGGGGCTCGAGAATCTCTGAGACTGAGAACCACTCTGTAGCTTTAAGTGGGTCTATGTTCTCAGTCGGCTGCCTCCCAGGGGTGAGTTCAGAGCTGGAAGACAGGCCCATTCTGTGGGTCATAGAACCCACCAGACCCCAGAGGTACCAGGAATCAGTTTAAGAGGCTCCCAAAGGGCCAGGCAGCTGGAAAGACCCAAGTATTCTGTTTCTCAGCTCCCAAGAGCCAGTCATCCACATTGTTGTTGGAATTTGTCCAAAAGGAAAAGAGGAGAGAGAAGCAGGTAGCCTGGTGGTTAGCCCTCCGGGTTCCTTGGAGCTGCTTTAGCTCTTCCTTGTCAGCCAAACCCAGAGGTTACTGGAGCAGGCCGGGCCTGCTCCAGCTAAGAGAGCTGAGTCATCCACAGGACAAGAGAGCAGTGGCTATAAATTATCTTGTGTTTAAGGATGGCTTTCTAAAACCTTGGCTTTGGGCTCGGAGTCTTTATTTATATCTCTTGCAGGAATATTTTTCAAACTCATGACAGTGCACTTTGTATCGCTTTGAGGACACTCCAAGCACCTGGTCTCCTCTATAATGAGCCTTGCAGGTGACAGGCCCCCAGTGGCCTTGGGCCCGATTCCGGGTGGGCTCACACCCACATGTACATTCATCCCCCCACTACCAGGCTGGGCCCCCACCTCAGGCATGAAATTGTGTCCACCTTGGCTAGCCCAGCAATGCAGGATACATTCAGAGACATAGGAACCCTCACACACACACAAACACACACACTCCAAATGCAAACTACTATGAACCCAGGAGCTGTCTGCACATTGCTGAGACAGCCTCCATTCAGGGGGAAATGTGCAACACAAAGAAGGACTCTCCAGGCTGCAGGGGCCTCCAGGGGTCAGAAGCCTTCCTCTCTGGCTCAGGAGCATTTGACAAGTGACTGATAAATTTTTATTTCCTTCCGTGATTTGGTTTTGCATTGTTGATGTGGCTTAAGTGGTGCATAGAGAGCTTCCATAGCTGAATCCTCACAGGTCAGAGTGAAGGAGCCACTTAGACGGCCTTTCCTCTTTTGATCATCTGGGAGGGAGTTGAGAGAAAGAGGGGAAGGTTGTCTCTCCTGCTAATAAAATCTTGACTCCTTTATCTCCCTGTAGCCCCTGCTTAGATGTTCTCTGTATCTCCTACCTGCCTAGTCTTTTCTTTTTCTTTCCTGCTTTATAATTAGATAATTCTGTGTAGTTTGGTAAATTACTGGTTGTTATTTATTTATTTCCTTTAGCTTATTTAGCATTATTTGTTCTTTCCAAAGTCTTTTCAAGATAAAGAAAACCTCATTCTTCCCATTGTCCTGAGGAAAAGAGAAGATAAAACTCAGAGGGCTGCGATGGATCCTAGTCCAACCCTGTCCCTTGACCCTGATCCTTCTGGGACAGTGAATCCAGGACATGTTTTGGTCCCTCTGTTCATCCGGCCCAATATCTGTCCTCTGAGCCCTGGGCCCCCGCATCAGCACAGAACCAACCCCTACAACCTGCCACCTTTCTGGGAAGTGGAACTCCCCAAGGCTTTGAGGCTAAGTCTTAGAGGGTGGTCCTCACCTGTCAGTAGACAAGATGGCTAGGGCCCTACATGATATAGCAGTGACTCTACTGTTGACAGAATCACAATACCAGAAATTTTCAATCAAGTCCTACCTTAGGTAATATAGTAGTTCCCCAATTCCTCCCTCTTCCCACCACATTTCCCCACTCCTCTTAAGCACCTGCTGTTTACACCCCTTTCATACTTTCTTTCCACTGCCATATATAGCTCTCTCGTAAGTTTGAATACAAACAAGGGATCCCTTCCTCATCCCAGGGCGTAAAACTATCCTTCTCCCACTACGTAAACATCACTGGAATTTCCACTTCTGGTCAATTTTTCCAAATAAATTTTGTTGTTGTTGTTGTTGCTGCTGTTGTTTTTCTCTAAACTTCACAGAGCACTAGTTCTTGCCCCATTTATTAATTAGTCCCAGAAGGAAGAGGTTACAGCCACTGCTCTGATGGGCACTGTAACAATGAAAAGGGAGCTTCTCACCTTAGGTTTTTGTGTCTACAAGAGTACTTACTGGTTGGTGTCTCTTCAGCAAACATTCTCATCCTCTTCCCTCTGGTGACTGGCCCTAAAGCCCTGCTTAGAGAGGTGGGCACATGGCCAAAGGCCAACGAAGTCTGATGGTCCGTGTACAGACAACAATGGCTCATAACCCAAGTAGGGAAATTCAAATTCCTTCCAGGGGAATGAGCTAAGGATATTGGGAGGGTGTGGAGGAAGGCACCTACTTTCTGCAGAGGTTGCTAAGAAGGGACTGCCAGTTGCCATGTCCCTACTGGGATACGGAAGTCTCTGGGAAGTGGTTGAAATGAACTAACAGTCAGAGAGAAGCTCAGAAGAGCAGACATGGGCAAACAGCGATGAGAAGGGATCCTGAATCCTGCAGCTCTTCCTTTATGTCTGAGGTACCTCAGTGTCCTGCCCAGGTGTGGAATAAATGGCTCATTTGTCTATGCTAATGAGAGGTACATTCCTGCTCCTTGCAACCAAAGATTTCAGATTACTTATGTCATGAAGAAAAAGATCTGACACACTGTATGAATGGAGGTTGCTTGGGCTACTGGGGCCCCATCTCTCACACCCACTCTCAGCCACATCTTCCAGACTGGAAATACGCTGAACAGGAGCCCCACCAAATACTCCATCCCAGTCTATTATCAGTACCCAACAAAAGCACGAGGCCCCTGGGAACTTCACAGACAGAGAAGAGGCAGAGAAAAAACAAACCAGGATCGGAGGGCACTGCACCTTTCTTTGTAGGAGTAGCCCTGGCCAAGGAGAGATTTCACCAGAGGAAGACTCACCCGAGGCTCAAGTTTTATTCCTTTGGGGTTTTCTTCCCCCTCAAGGGGCGTTTCCCAAGCATGTGCTAAAACAGAAAGTTGCTTATTTGTTTTTAATGATCATACTGGTAAAGCATGCCAGCAAATTCTACTAAGGCAATAGAGGTCTGCTCAAATAATGTGGTCATTTCCGAAGACTCCTTAGATACAACAATAGTTGCAATTGCTACTACTTCTGTCACCCCCACTCCTAGTAAACTCGCCTACTCCACCCCCAGCACTGGGCCCTTATGTCAAATCTTCGTGCCAATAAATGGGATAGTCTGCATGACCCCTTGACAAACTATGAGAAATGAATTTATGTGTTTTTAATTGAAAATGGAATGAAAGCAATTTTTGCTTATCTTTTTCCCTGCTGACATCCAATGATCCATACCCTTTAGAAATCACTGTGGGAGAAAGATAAAGAAATAAGGAAGGAACCCAAGAAGAGAAGATAGGAGAGAAATGCCATGATTTGACAAAAAACATGAGTCAAGGAACCCCTTTTTTCTAAGCAATGGAAGGGCAGGCTAGAGCTTTTCTTGCCTCCAGGTACAGGGGGCAGAGATGATAACCCACCCAGTCACTGACAGAATCCCTACAAATGGACCAGGTAGTAGCTGGTGGGCCCAGGGCCAGATTTTGGCAAGAGGAACAGAATAGAAAAGGAAGAAAAACAGGTGCATGTTCCTGCTTCTGTTGAAATACTGTTTGTCCTGCAAGTCTCTCTTCTCTGTGGTGTTATCTGCAGGCATCTTCCCACCCACTCACCCACCTCTGTCAGAATTCATTTCTCCTACTCTATCCTGCCTAGCAGTTTGTGATGAAAACAGTAATAGAGGACCATCAGCTTTATGTGTATAATAAGAGCATGTGTGTCTAGCGCAGAGGGCAAAAATGCAATTCCCATCAAGAGGGTCCTTCCCCTACCCCTTCCATCCAGGCTGGCCTTGTAACTCACTTTGGCCAGGAGAAGGTAGCCAAAAGAGACTTCACGTGTGTTTCAAGCCTGGGCCTCAAGAAGCTTTATGTGCTGCTTACTTTCTCGGAAGGCTGCCCCTGCACATGAATTAGCTCAGGTTAGCCTGGAAAAGGATGAGAGAACATGTGGGCAAAGTCTCCAGTTGTCCAGGCCATCACTGGCGAGCCCACAAACACATGAGCAAGCCCAGTGGAGATCCACAGGGCACAGTTGGATAGAGCAGAACTGCCCAGCTCTTCTGCAGACTTGGAAGCAGCAATAAAGGAACAGTGTCATAAATCACTAACTTTGGGGGTAGTTTATCAGGCAGCAAAAGCTAACTGATACACAGGATGTCCCTCCCTAGAGGGCTGTTAATCTTAGATCTCTCTCTATCATTCCTCCACTTGCATATTCCTGGGACACTCCAGATTCTCAGCAAATCTTGCAGGATGAGGCAGCATGGAATGGAACAAAATGGAACTAAAAGGTTGGTAAAGGGCGGAGCAGTTGCGAAGCACCCCAGGCATGCACTAATGTGACTACCTGGCTCCTCTCCACCTCCCCAAGGCCTGTGCTTGGGAAAAAGGTTACCTGATCACCACCACCTTTGTCTATCAATTCACTTGGGGCTGGATTAATCCCTACTCAGTTTCCCCCCCATCTCCCCCCACCCTTGTCCCCAGTCTGACTGCCCAGATGATGTAAGCCGTAACCAATCTTGCAGTCGGAGCAGTCATTCGGCTGGCTCACTTCCGTATCCATTAAGGGAAGACAGACACTTTAGAAAGAATTGGAAAATATTACCAGCCACCCTCTCCACTCGACTGCCCCCTCCCTTACCCCAGTCTTCACTTCCCAGCCATATACACCCTACCCTCAAGAGACCAGAGCTGGGAAGTACTGAAGCCAAAGAAAGAAGAAACTGGAACTGTAGCCCTGTGGGCCTCATGGGCTGAGCCACGAGACTGCTTTGGGCATGAGAACTAGTTCTGGAAGAGACAAACGAGGCATCTGGAGAACCTTGTCAGCCATGTCCAGCTCCACTCTGGCACCCTCCGCTCGGGGTGCTTTGTTGTTTGCTGCCAATAAAGTGGGCATGAGGGGTCAGAGTGCTTGCATCCATGTTGGGGAGAGGACCACAGAAAGGGTCCCCATCACTTAACTGAATTGCCAGACTCACTTCCAGGGACACAATGCGGACTCGAGTTAAATGACTCAAACAAATTTGGGCAGACAGAACCTGGTTTGTTTGCTGAGGTCAGGGCTCCTGAGAACCTTTCAAGGCCTATACTGTTTTCCTGCTGTCTAATATGGGTGTGGAGAATTCTTCCATTAAAGAGTCAGCTGCTCCTGCCTTGGAACCTTCTGCTCTTTGAAAGTGCCCAAGAAAACACACAGTAGCTCCCCAAATCAGCCCCTTGAAAGCTGCGAGGCCTTGGTCAAGCCTTTTTACCTTTCTTGGCCTCAGTTTTCTCTTCTGAAAAGTACAGACAGGAATGCATTTCTACCTCACAGAGTTGTTGAGTAGAAAAAAACTGAGATAAAGTCAATAAAAGCTCATCGCACAACAGCTTATGAAAAATAAGTGCTGGATGGGGAGTCTGGACTTTCTGCTCAGTTTTCCTGTAAACCTAACACTGCCCTTTAAAAAATTAAGTTTATTAATCTTTTTAAAATGTGTTGGACAAATGTGTGTTGGATGGCTGAGAGATGGTTGGAACCTGTTTATTCAATATTTACAATACTAGGAAGGAAGAAGAACATCGACAGCAGCATTTCCTACCAAGTCTGTAAAAAAAGGTGAGTTCTTGATCCATCAGAGTTAGAGCAGGCATTTACTCTAGAAATGGTCTTTGGCGGTCTCAGACTGGAGATGAGTGTTGAACAGAGAGTGAGAGGTAGCACTTCCAAAGGAAAATGGCACACATTGATCCACGTGTGTTAAGGTCCAGTTTAGGCCCCAGCTCCAAGGAAGGGAAGACAGGGAAGTGGTGATTTTTATTCTGCCTCCCTGTCATACCACCTCCCTAGTTCTACAAAATATACTTCCTTCTTTTGGAGGTGTCTTTCTCCCACCCATGCCAGTTATATTTTATGAGAGGCTATTAATTATGAGAATTGGCCTCCCTTATTACGGGTTGGGCACACTAATGCTTCCCCAAGACTTGGTCTTGCAGGGGGAGGCAGTTCCTCCTTTGGGTAATGATGGCAGGTGTGAAACTTGGGGGTTTCTGGTACCCTCAAAAAGAGAACCTGTCTGAGTGAACGAAATTGGCACATGGGAAGAAACGAAGATGAGGATCAATGAGTCCCGTCCCCCTTTCTTTTCCCTGTTCCCAGGTGTCCCTGAGACCAGCTGCACTCTGCTCTCCCTTGCTTTGGTTACAGGAACCACCAAATCCCCTTCTAGCTGAGATTGCTTGTTTACTACAGCCCTGTTCCCCTGTTCAAAAACAGTATAACTCCCTCGGTTAGAAGACATCATAAACAAAGCAAATGGAAAGTCATGCAAGATAGCACCACGCTGAGTAGTTTGGAATTAACTCTTTTGTGCACCTACTTCTTTCTTTCTTTAACAAGCACTTTCCCCCCACTAGCCACTGAAAATGTAAATGTAAGTAAACCATTCACAGGCAAAGCTCACAATTGAGTGATGAGGAAGCCATAATATAACTTGCCAGGTATATAATTTATACCTGGTAGAAGTAAATAGCACTCAGAACCAGGGAAGTATAGAGGAGGAAGGTTAATACATTCTAAATATCGAGAGTCTGGGAAGGTATCATGGACGCAGAGTTATTGTGGGAGAGCTTTGAAGGATTTTGTGAGAGTAGATATTGGGAGTTTACAAGAAGGATGTAGGTGGGATAAAAGAGACA